CCCAAGATCATGCCCTTTCACAACCTTCTCCACAAGCCAAGTCCCGCCCAACCCCAGCTAAGGGCCGGGGCTACTGTGCAGCATGGCCCCAGTCTTTCCAGCTGGGTAGCTGGGCAGTGTAGACACTTTTGGGAAGGCAATTCCTTCCCTTGCCTACATTACCTGCCGCCCATGTTCAGAGCCTGACATTCCTGTAACTGTGACTTCACTGGGGTTCTGGCTTTACCCCTGGTTGTCTGCAACCTAAGAACATAAGAACGGCCATACTGGGTCAGACCATAGGTCCAGGTAGACCAGTATCCTGTCTTCTGACAGGGGCCAATGCCAGGAATTCCCAGAGGGAATGAACAGAACAGAGACTCATCAAGCAATCCCACCCCACTATTCCTACCCATCCTGGCTAATAGCCATTGATAGACCTATCTTCCATGAATTTATCTAGCTCTTTTTTTAACCCTGTTAAAGTCCTGTCCTTCACAACATCCTCTGGCAAGGAGTTCCACAGGTTGACTGTGCTCTGCATGAAGAAAAACTTCCTTTGGTTTCTTTTAAACCTGCTGCCTATTAAACATCCAGTGTGGCCAGGAATGTGGTGGAGCGGAGTTACTCTCTGTGCCTGGGACTGCAGCGGGAGAGGTGCAGAGACCTGCTGGAGTAACCCAGGGAGGGGCACTGCTCATGGACTCCTTGTCCTCAGATTCCACCCTGCTGCAGTAGAGCTGGGCACCAGGATGTGCTGCGTTGGTGCATTTCCTGCACCGCGCCTGGGGGCTGCCCCCCTGCACTGTGCTCTTCTCGTAGTGAATGTAACTGCCCCAGCAGCTCTGGTAATAGCCCCATGAAGGTAGTCAGGAAAGGAAATCACCTTAGCCTAAGGTAGAGCGGGGCTTGCTATAGTTAGCCCTGAGTTTAGCACCGAACCACCACAGCTGGACGGGGCCATGGCGAGCTTTCAGGCCTGCTGCCCCGCTGGGAATGAGGGAGAGGAGAGGAAGCTTTCCTGGTTGTGCCCAGAGTGGCCACCAGGGCTCCCTGGAGGCTCCTGATTTCGAATTAAGTGTCTACACAGCACTTAATTCGAAATAGCTCTTTCGAATTTGGCATTACTCCTCGTAGAATGAGGTTTACCAAATTCAAAATAAGGGCTCCAGTATTTCGAATGTATTTCAAAATGGCAGTTTGCCTGTGTAGACGCTATTAACGTTAATTCAAAATAACGGCTGTTATACTTTGAATATAGCGGCTGAATAAGTTTGTAGTGTAGACATACCCCCTTAGGGAACAGAGAAGAAGTTTGTTGAGCTGGGCGGGAGCTGTGCTGTGGGTGAGGTCCTGATGCCCTTTTCTAGAAGACAAATGCAGGCAAAAGTGGAGAGCCAACAGTAGCAAAGGTAGCAAATGCAGCAGCTGTCTCCGGGGTGGACTTTCTCCTGCAGAGCTCAGTGCTGGAGAAACAGGTTCAGTGCATGAGACCTGGGTAATTTGGACCAGCATCGGGCTGTTTAGGCGACTGCTTTTAGTTGCTTCTCCGAGGTCACAGGTTACAGCAGTGTTGCAAGATGTACAGTCTTGACAGCTGGCTAAGGCAGAGTTTTATTAGACAGAATTGAAAAGGGGGGGTGTGGAGAAGAAATAAGGTGGGGAAGGAAAAGGACATGTCGGGGGAAGGGGGAAGAAGAGACAAAGTCTCAGATCCCAGCTGGTGTTTGGGTCCCTCTCTCTGGCCCACTCTAGTCAGCACAACCCTTAGGGCCAGGAGCTGGGAGGCCCACATCGCAAGAGATGGGGAGGCTGGGAGCCAGGAGGGTGAAACTCGCTGCAGCGGCCAATTTTGCTCCCAGAGTCTCTCCCCGAAGGGAGCGTCCAGCAGAGCAACTCGTTCTCTCCTTATTTCGTCCACCAGCTCGGCTGAGTTTCCAACAGCAAGTTCGATTCGCTGGTTTCTGGGCCCGCGCTGGACTTATTTGCCAGGCACAGTCTGAACCCAGGCCTTGAGTTCTCTCACGAGGCCTCTTTGTTTGGGCTAGTTCAATCTTTCCGTCTCCCTCTCGTACATTTCACTGATTGTGACAGGTTAGGGTGACACCTTCCAAACTTCCATGGGGTTTGGACAGTGGAGCTCCCAGGTCGGGTAAAGCGGTAGCCCCGGTTATTACAGCGGTGTCACTGACAGCAGGGCTGGGCTTGCTGCGTCTAACTGAACGCCCCCTGCGGAGCCTGCTTGCCGAATCCAAGTTTGTAATCGGATCCCAGCCATCGCGGTATCAGACTGTAGTTTGGTGTCAGCTGCTGCCTCGTACTCTCAGAAAGCTGGGGAGGAACCAAGCTATGCACCATGGTGCAATCTGGTGCCAGCCTGCTCCTCTCCTCCCGCTCGGGGGCTGCCGTTACCAGTCTCCGTGCCCCATGTGTGGTGGTCCATGTGGGAGAGAAAAACCAAGACTCTGCTGTTGAGATGGGCAAGGGGATTCTTGCGTTAAGGCTCCTGAACAGACTCCCTCCTACTCTCCCCTGGCTCTCTGTGCTGCCTAGAGTTGCTATCCAGGGTCTCCTTAAGTCTTGGCCTGGTCTCCGTGGTTACACTCCAGAGGGACTGGGGCCTGTTTGAGGCACTTTACCCTACGAATCCACAACAGATGCATTTCCCTAGCTTGGGCTGGGCTTAGGAAACATGCAGAAACTGGAGAAGGCCCAACTGTGGCATCTCCTTTCCATCTGCTATGAATGTGACCTCCCCCGTCCGGGGAATAAAAATATCATAATAAAAAAGAGCTTTTAAAAAATGTAGGTTCCAGTTTTTCTTTTGACTCACGGCAGCCAGATCGTACAGAGTCATTGTCAGCCTTCCCGGGCGTGGGGAATTGGATTGGAGTAGCTGAAAGATGCACGTTTCGTGTTAGAATGTGTGGCCTGTGGGAAGAGCTGTCAAATCAACTGAAATGAGCGATTGGGGGTTTTATCCATTGCGGGCCAGGTTTGCAGTTGGGGCGAATCTGCGCTGCTGGGTTAGCTTAATGGAGCTGTTTCAGTTGACACCAATGAAGAATCTGGCCTCTTTGCTCATCCCCTTCCCTATAAATTAGAGCTGGGAAAATGCTTTCCATTGGGAACTGATAGCAAGAAAACTGACCTTGAGGGGCACAGGCAAAGAGAGGAGAGAGTTTCAGCTGGGAATTAAAATGTGAGGGAGAGTCCCTGGGGGCAGCGAGATCATGGAGGTTCTGTGGAATAGGAGCTGCAGAGATGGAGGCTGTCTCACCAAAAGAAGTGAATGGGAGACCAAAAGCGGGATCTGTCTTGCTGTGGCACATATTTGCCCACCCCCCTGCTTCCTGTCGGGTCACTGTCTTTAACGTATTCCTCCTCCTACACCCCTGGGAGGCAGACACGGGAGTGCTATTATCCCTGTTGGACAGTTGGTAAAACTGATGCACAGAAAGGCAACGACTTGCCCAAGGTGGTTGTGATGGATAGGAGGAGCGCTGGCCAGCACTCTGTGACTAAGGGGTTAAACTCAGGTAGCTAGCAAGGGTGTTGGCAGAGAGCCAGAAGAGCCAATGGGGATACAGTGCTCTTCTACCTGGTCTGCTCTTCCTTTGGGTGAATCTAAGAAGGGCTGGAGGGAGCAGATGCAGTACTTAGAATTACCGTGCCTAGAAGAAATATTGCACATGGGAGTGAACTGGGCATGGATCGTGAGTAGAGGGAAAAGGTGTATTTAGTTGCAATCAAGGTATTTTTCTTTCTTTTGGTTGCTTGGATAAATGTCTGTGTGAATCTGTGCCTTTCCTTCCCCACTCACTATCTAAGAGCGTACCCAGAGATGCTCTCTGCGTTTTATTTTGTTTTACTCAATTTCTGTGTAATACCTAGCAACCAAGTATGCTTTATCAAGTATATCTTTTGGTTTTGTTAATAAAATCACCTTTTTAAGGCAATGATTTGATTCGTGTGTCCTGGAAAGCAACAGGAGATCTGTCTGTGTGTGTATCTGCCTGCCTAAGACTGAGCGGACAGTTACCAGAGACTGCAGCTTGTTTTCTCTCTCTTTTTTTTTTTCTTCTTCGAGCTCTCTTTTAGTAAAGGACCTTGGGGGTACCCTTCTGGAAGAAGTGCCAAGTGCTTTCTTCCTGGGATCAAGAAGTAAGGGGTGGTGTTGTTTTTTCACTTGGTGGTGGCAGCTACCCCCCTGAAGTCAGTGAATCTGTGACTCTAGGGAGTTTATGTAAGCAGGGTCTATAAAGGCAAGGTACTTAAGATCTCTTGTGGGCCCCCATCTTCTGCAGTCCGAGTGCCCGAGTGGGGAACAGCCCTGACAGTCACAAAGTCAGGAACTGAATAGCACCTCCCACCCCAACCACTGGGCGACCCTTCCTCTCCTGGTGGGAGAATAGACACACAGGAGAAAATGAACGTCAATGCAAAGTCATGCCACTAGCTTTCTGGGCGTTGGCTGGTGTAGCTAGCAATAGAAATTTGGCACACGGCCAATGAGATAAGCTGGGGGGGAGGGGGTTCAGAGGCCTGGGTGTTTCAGGATGGCCTTGAGGTTAAAAAGGTTCGCTTGATTCAACTCCAGCTCTGCTACTGTCTCCCCGTTTGAGTTTGGGCAAGTTACTTCATGTCTCTGGGCCTTGGTGCCCATCTCCAGAGCAGCAACGAGGTTTTCTTTCTCCCACCTGCTTGGCTGGCTTCTCTGCGCTCTTTGGGTTTGTCTCTTGCTACGTGTCTGTGCAGTGTCCGGCCCAAAGGGGTTCCCAATCTCGGTCAGTGCCTGGAGTGGACCGGGGTTGAAATAAAGCCGCCTTTTCTTGGTGGCCCCAGCTGCGCTCTGCACGAAGCGGCAGAGGTGTCACGGAGAGCAGAATTTGGCCTGGGGAGGACAGGTTGGAACAGGATTTTCCCACCACCTCTGGGCACCCTCTGAAGCAGAGCCTGTATCCAGGGGTGGTTTTCAGCGCTGCTGATTCAGGGCTTACTGAAGCTTTGGTTTGACCTAGGAGGGAGCTCTCGATCTGCTGAAGGAACTGAACAGCTACACCATGACCATCGAGCTGCTGCAGGTGAGGGGTGTGTGTGGAAGAGAGGGTGGTGTCCATAGCTCCAGCCAGCATCTCATGGGCTTCTTGGAGCTGAAGCGGAGCAGTGCAAAGGGAGGTAACCTGGAATCCAGAGTATGTTAATTCACGGGTAAGCTCCACCTACTTGGTGCGGCGCTTCACTCCCCTCTAACTGAGGCAAGGCCGACTAGTGCTCGCTGAGCCAACTACAGCCTGGGCTAAGGGAGCAAGGCTTTTTAGCTGGGGCAGGTACGGCCTCCTGGAGAGACCCCAGGGCTTCAATCCACTTGAATTCAGGTCATTGCTTTCCAGAGGCTTTTTAAACAGAATGTAGGGCCGGGCATGTCTTTTCTTTCCCAGTAAGGACAGCACTAGAGAGAAGGAATCAGGGCGTAGCTCCTCAGTGGAGAACGGTATATCACAGCTGCAAGGGACTTGGTCATTTTCAGCGACCAGCCCCTAGATGACTGCTCTTGCTGGCGGCCACTTGAATTCAGGTCATTGCTTTCCAGAGGCTTTTTAAACAGAATGTAGGGCCGGGCATGTCTTTTCTTTCCCAGTAAGGACAGCACTAGAGAGAAGGAATCAGGGCGTAGCTCCTCAGTGGAGAACGGTATATCACAGCTGCAAGGGACTTGGTCATTTTCAGCGACCAGCCCCTAGATGACTGCTCTTGCTGGCGGGAGGGAGGGGGAAGGAGAGAGGGTCCCCCCCCCGGTCACCTGTTCATCCGAGACTTGCTGGCGGGAGGGAGGGTCCACCCCAGGTCACCAGTTCACCTGAGATATTTCAAAAGCAAGCTGTGATTGTCCTAGGGATGTAACCCACTAGTCCCTTAACTAGTCATTTGCCAGTGCTAAGGGGAGCCAGCTTAAAAGTCAGTCCCCCCCAAGCACCATATCCCATGGAGCCATCTGACCCCACCACCCCAGCCCCACACAGCTATCAGAGGCAGCGGGAGGAAGAGGATGCCAGAGCAGCCTCTGTCTAGCAAGAGCCAGTCTGCGTGGGATGCTGATGTTTAAACTGACTCCCCTCATGGGCCAGCTCCACCTGCCATGGGCTGCTGCCTCTGAAACAGAGGCAGCAGCACGGGATGGGGCCCCCCCGCTGTGCACCAGCCTTTGAAATGTATAAAGAGCCAGCAGGGTTTATACATTTAGAAGGCTGGTGCGCGGTAAGGGAACGGGGTCGCCCATCCGCTGCGCTTCTACTTTTTAAATGTATTAAGAGTCTGCTGGCTCTTAATCCATTTAAAAGGCAGAGCCGCAGCGGGGTTAGCTCTCAGGCCCGCGAGCTAACCCTGCTGTGGCTCCCCCGCCTATTGACTAGTCGATGGAAATTCCATCAACCAGTCGATTAAACTAAATTTAACATCCCTAGATTGCCCTGAGCTGTAATCTTGTCCCTGTCTGGGTCTCTCCTCCGTCTGGGAAAGCAGGCGGCAGCGAGCGCCTACTCGCAGGAATTCTCCTGATGCGTTCCCTTGGGCCCCCACCAGAAGAAGGAGGAGCCATATCAGTTTCTATCCATCCATTGTTGTATTTATTAATCATCTTTATTGTTTCTGTTATTGTCACATCTACTTGTCCAGTCAAGGACGAGGGTTCCACTGTGCTAAGTGCCGGACAAACACAACACAAAAAGATAGCCCCTGCCCATGGCACTTACCTGGCCCCTGTTGCTGTAACATTTAAACACCTCCCCACCTCCTGGGAGGCAGGGCAGTCTATTATGCCCATTATACAGCTGGGGAAACTGAGGCACGGAGCAACTAAGTGATTTACCCAAGGTCTCACAGGGTCTCTGCAGTAGTGAGTGCACCACTGCGCTACCTTTCCTCTCTGTTCTTCTTTCCTCTTTGATCTGCTTAATCACAAACATCCATCCATTTGTGCTCCCAGACCACGAGAATTGGTGTGGCTGTTAACACTGTCCGGAAGCAGTGCTCGGATGAGGAGGTGGTGGCCCTGGCGAAAATCCTCATCAAGAACTGGAAACGGCTGCTAGGTGAGCGATCCTGAGGCTGCCGCTGCCTCACTAGTAAAATGCTAGTGGTCCCAAAACCTCGCTACACCCTTTGGTTCTACACAGACCTCACAGTCCCACATCCCCGGGATTCAAGGAGCTAATGGGCCAGGGGGTTGGTTTTAATTTGTCAGAGGGGTCATTTGGTGACTTATTGGTGAGACGATCAGGACAGAGCCGTGGCCAGGTCATGTGTGAGCGACTCTAAGCCATGCTACTGTACTAGCTCTGGTTTTCAGGGCAGCTCAGGGTGTGCACTCACGAACCACAATAATGCCTGTGTCCCCAAAACACAGCAGATCCCAAAGAGCTGCCCAGCTTTTATGAATTTACCCTCTCAGTCCACCTGTGAAGCAGGGCGGTGCTGTTAGAGAGGGGAAACTGAGGCACGGAGGCTATGTGACTGTCCATGGTCACCCAGGGAGTCCATGTCAGAGCAAGAAATTGGCCCCAAGTCTCCCGTTCCTTCTCATGGTGCAAACCTACCCTGCTGTTTCAACTTGTACGTCCACGTTCATGTTCTGCTCGCGCATGCAACTCATCCCTGACCTAGGGACCTCTTAGCTGGGCCAGTCCTGGTTCCCCAGGCCTGGCACCAAGCCTGAGCTGCTTGATGTTCCTGTCCTGGAGCTGTACACAATCCTGCCAGCAGAGTTCCCCGTACTGTCAGCTGGGTGCTTGTGCAGCTGTTCAGGAGAGATTCCAATGGCACCCAGCTGATTAGCAGAGCACCACCCCCGAGGTTTTTTGTTTCTGCATGTGGTGCACATTGGCACGTCTTGGTGCACGTAGAAAAATGTATTCCGCATGGATGGAAAAGATTAGCGGGGACATCACCTGCCAGGCCAATCCTGACCTGAAACAAGCAACCCCGTCTCTTCTAGTTGGTGGCCTAGCCCCAGTGGCCATTGGAACCCAAGTCTCAGAAGCAAACAGGCTAATGCACTGACCCTCTGGGCCACCGTGCCCCCGGTAGCAATGGGTTGGATTCTGCAGGTCCTCAGGCTGGCTTCTGCAGATCAATGTACGTTAGGAGTGACGGCACCATTGGGGCTGGAAAGGCGGAAAATTACTGTAAGGAAGATCTGGACCAGGCCCTTTATAACCCTGCTCTGAATGTCCAAGGGGACCACTGAGGGAACTTCCCCAAGCCGAGTGCTCATGAGTTGTTTGTTTTTTTCCTAGCTGGTATGAAATTATCACCAGCTTGGTGACTAGACGTGCCCTTCCCCCACCTCGCATTTTAGTTGCAGCCAGCATCTGTGACAACCTACTCTGTTCTCTTTAGAGTCCTCGGAGACCCCGAAGAGAGACAAGACCTTGGAAGGGCAAAAGAATAAAAAAGAAAAAAGTCTCGACTTTCCCAGCTGGCAGCCTGATGAGGCGAATTCCCATCCAGTGAAACTCTGCCAAAGCCCAGCCGAGAAGCACAAGGAAAAACACAAAGAAAGGTGCGAGCTGCCCACTGGGGTTCTTGGACCATCAGGCTTTTTGTAAGCAATAGGGCTGTGTCTACACTGGCCACTTATTCCGGAAAATCAGCCGCTTTTCCGGAATAACTTGCCAGCTGTCTACACTGGCCCCTTGAATTTCCGGAAAAGCACTGACGATCTAATGTAAAATCATCAGTGCTTTTCCGGAAAAACTATGCTGCTCCCGTTCGGGCAAAAGTCCTTTTCCGGAAAACTTCCGATCCAAAGCAGGACAGGTAAACTCCCCAACCTCCTTATTGCTTGGATCTGGGCAGCGGGCAAGGGGAAGACAGAATCATAGAATCATAGAGCTGGAAGAGACCTCAGGAGTCATCAAATCCAGCTCCCTACCCAAGGCAGGATCAGTCCCAACTAAATCATCCCAGCCGGGACTTTGTCAAGCCGAGACTTAAAAACCTCTAGGGATGGAGATTCCACCCCCTCCCTACGGAACCCATCCCAGTGCTTCACCACCCTCCTAGGGAAATAGTTTTTCCTAATGTCCAACCTAGACCTCCCCTGCTGTAACTTGAAGACCATTGCTCCTTGATCTGCCATCTGTCACCACTGAGAACAGCCTCTCTCCGTCCTCTTTGGAACCCCCCTTCAGGAAGTTGAAGGCTGCTATTAAATCCCCCCTCACTCTTCTCTTCTGCAGACTAAATATGCCCAGATCCCTCAGCCTCTCCTCATAGGTCATGTGCTCCAGCCCCCTAATCCTTTTGATTGCCCTCTGCTGGACCCTCTCCAATGTGTCCATGTCCTTTCTGTACTGGGGGGCCCAGATTTGGACGCAATACTCCAGATATGCTGTTGTGTGACTTATTTTCCAGCCTGTTGGGTGAGGATACCTATGGCACTGCCTGCAGGTGGAACTGCCCACAGGACCCTCCTTACCCAGACGCAAAATACACAGCTACATGGGGCACCATCAGGGTTGCCAGGTGTCTGGTATTTTCAGAATTTTTCCCCAGCCAGGAGGCGAAAATGCCGGGCACCTGGCAACCCCACAAATACTCAGCACCCGGCCTCCCCCCTTGGCCTCCAACACCCCCAGTACCCTGGCCCCAGCCCCCATGCTTACCTGGTTCCCCAAGGCTGCCAGCACCAAATGGCTGCGGGACAAAAGACCTGGGTCTTAGTGCTCAACCGCTCCTCTGTTCCCTGCACTCACTCTGAAAGGGGACATGCTGTTTTAATGCTGTTTCATTTTCATTTTTTTTTATTTTTGGCTGCTTAAATCTTTGGAGTCCCTTTTTTTGTTTTTTGTTTTGCTCAACAACTTTGGTCTCTCCCCCCCTTTTTTTCCCCCTTCAAAATAATTTTTTCCCGGTGTTTTTTTTTTTGGGGGGGGGGAGGGTGTTCAATATTTTTGTTTCAATCATCTGGCAACCCTAGGCACCATGGAATGCAGGGCACCAAATTGCCCCAAGTTTCGTGGTGCCTGAGGCACGATATGCAGTGGGGCCAGCTTTGGTGGACAGCTCCATTCCCTGGCCAGCCCAGCAGGGCCATCCCTAGAGAGTGCAGGGCCTGGGGCAACCCCCTTTAACCCCCATTCCACCCCCTCCCCAAAGCCCCTGTCTTAGCTTTGTTCTTCCCTTCCCCACCTCTTCCTGCCCCTCCTGGGCCTCTGCCCCCACCTCCACTCCACACCTGCTCCCAACCCCCTCCTCAAGCAGGGGCCCTGATGCCCTCAGCAGGAGTCGGGCCTGCCCCCACACTCCCTGGTGGCGGTGAGAAGCTGAGCGACCCGGTCCCAGCCCACCCCCAGCCATGTCGCTCTGTGCCCCACTGCCAGTGGGTGGGGGGGAGGGTGGTTCCACCCCTTCCCCAGGCCTCCTCCCCTGAGTGATGCAGCTGAGTGCCAAGGGAGGGGAGCAAGCTGGGGCCTGGACTCCTCTGTAGTTTGAATACAAGGGGTTGGGGCTTGGCCCATTGGTTGCTATTGGGCTTGTGGTCAGGGAGGCTGAGTTGTAACTCCACAGCGCCCTGGCCTGCTGCTCCGGGACTCTGGAGTGTGCTTTGCCCGGCTGCCTTGGGAGTAGAGCAGAGCACCCCAGGGAACTCTTAGTGCATCTTAGCAGGGCCCAGCCAGCTAGCGTGTGACAGGTCCACGTGCTGTTGCTTCACACCCCAGGCTGACACGCAGGGAGTCTCCGTGTAGACAAGCCCGTAGATGGGGGAAGCTGTCAGGGGCATGAGTGGAGAAGACCGAGAAATGAGGGGGGCATTTTTTCCCCTTTCTTTCACCTTGTTTAGTACGTGGGGTTGGTGTTTAAGACAGAAAAAGGGGGGGGGGTGAAAATCGGATGTTGTAAAAATATAAAAATAGAACAGTGCTGGAAACCCCTCTCTGCAAACCCTCTTTCTCCCCAGGAAATCCAGCAAGTTCAGCTCTCATGCAGCAACCCCCAAGAGTCATTCTGCAGACTCCAAGCCAGACAGGTAGTTGCTGATATACCCACAAATCCTTTAGTTGGGGAGTAGCAGTTACAGGGCAGGGGTGACGTGAATAAGGTCACAGAGGGCTTGAACCCCTGTCCTCTTGCTTGCAAGGGTCTCAGATCAAGCTGGGACCAGAACCTGGAAGTTGTTCCTCTTCAAGGCTGAAATGACCTTTCTACAGGCACAAAGCTTTTATACCAGCATGAACGCATAACAATGCCCAGCTCTTTTAGGTAGCACCTTTCAGAGATTGATCTCCGAGTGGAGGTCAGTGTCATGCTTTTACAGATGGGGAAACTGAGGCACAGAGCAGTGCAGTGACTTGCCTGAGGTTACCTAGCAGGCCAGTGGCAGAGCCAGGAGTAGAACCCAGGTCCTTTGAGCCCTGGCCTGTGCTCTCATTGCTGGGCACCTAGAAGGCAGACTGTGTTTCAGTCCTCCCTTTGTGGTCTGTCTGTACTATTACCGGTGCTGTTACCAAGACCCATTTGCCAAGTGTGAGCGATACCATTCCGCAGTGTCCCAGGGTCTTATAATCAGCGTTTGGCACTGTGGGGACAGCTAAGTGCGCTGCCCAGACTATGTCCAATTGCAATAGCTTGGCTGCGGCCCGGGCACTTGTCTCCAAAACCACTGTGAGCTCAGGACAGGTCTACAACAGCATAGTGGCCGCAGCAGCAGCAGAGTCCCCTGGAAGGAGTCCAGCTGGAGCCGCCCCCAAATCCGTGAATTACCTGCCACGTTCCCTTGATTCTCCAGCCAAGCAGGGGAGAGCTGAGGCTGTCAAGTATTTCTCGACCCACAGAGATTCCGAGCCAGATTCCTGATGGACACGAAACTCTGAGAAGTATCTAGAGCAGGGCCTGCAGTTTGGCCGGTTGTAGAAACACAAGCGAGCTGGGACGTTCCTAGCTGGATCACAGTTCAGAATTCTGCCAAGCTCGTGGCTGGTCCCAGGGTGTCAGCTGGGGAGATCAGATCTCTGCTCCGGTGGGACCGTCTCATTCTGCGTGATTGCCCATTGGTGGAAGGACTTTCTGTCCTGGAGAGGGAAGAGGGCCGGGGTTTGGCTCGTTAATTACATGGGAGATGGTGGATTTCTCCGAGGCCAGATGTCTTGCTGAAAGATCTGTTGTAGCAGCAACAGGAATTCTGGACTTGTGCAGAAATGGTAGGGTGAGCTTCTCTGGCCTGTGTTACGCAGGAGGTCACACGACACCAGAATAGTCCCTGCTGGCCTTAAAATCTATGAACATGGATGATTTGAGTTATTCTTATGCTTCACGTTTCTCAAATGAATAGTTAAACCCTCAGAAACTCAGGAGTCCTGTCTGCCAGCCTCCCACTCTAACCATTCATCTGTACTGCCTCTCAGAGCTGGGAACAGAATCCAGGAGGTCCTGACTACAGGCATTTTGCTCTAACCACTAGGTGATGCTGTAATGGCGAGGCCGGGGGGGACTGACTCATGCTTGAGTTCTCCAGTTGAATTGGGGATGTGACGAACCTGCTGTTTGCTGGTGGTTGACTGGGTGGGGGAGGAGTCCCCGTCCATGCCGGGGTCTGTGGATGACGGGTCAATGGGGAGGAAGCGCCCCCACAGCTGGCACATGTCTCCGTGCAGCGGGTCCCCTAACAGATGTCAGCAAGGGGGGCTTGTGGGCCCAGTGCTGGGATTTCAGGTGCGCTAACCTCTCGCCCCTCTGTGTGTTTTCCCTACGAAGGGAGGCCAGCGACTGCAGGGCCCTTCCCGCTGCCTCTAAAAAGTTCCACTCGGACGGCAAGAAGGAGAGGTAGGTGTGTGGTGGCCCGTTTGGCTTCTCAGTCTCTGGGGGAGCAACATGCCCAAAACAAGGCATCTTCCGTCCGCCGCGGCCTGCTCTGCACGCAGTCAGCTGCCTTTCTGCATGGCCCCTGGCAAGGCCGGGGGAGGATTCCCTCGCTAGGGATTTTCCCGGCCCTTGTGCCTCTCAGGTTCTGTGGGAGTGTCCCTCCTGATTCTCTGCACTTTGGGACACGGCCCTTCCTCCCCCGCTTCTCTTTCAGGAGAGACTCTGCAGACTCCAGAGCTTCCACCGTCACCACTGCCTCCTCCTCGGCCTCTTCCTCCCCTCAGAAGAGACCGTCGGTGGAGAGGTAAAGGGGAGGCGCGTTCTTCCAGCCAGCCCGCTGAGGGCTGCCATTTCACCCGGCTCCCTCCTAGAGCCTCCAAGGAGGGATCCTGGGGCCTGGCAGGGGATGCTTGTTCCTAGTGCGCTATGGAGCTCTGGGCCCCGGCTACTCCCTCGCCGGGACGGGCCCCGTCTCCAGAACTGGCGCAGGCAGATGAGCTAGAGAGTGTCTGGATGGAGGTTCCTTGTCAGAAGGCTCTTGGCTACCGTGTGGCTGGGCACCACGCAAAAGCCTAGAAAGAGCTGGAGGAGGCAGGGATGCTGTGGGGCTGGCATGCAGGTCCTCCCGGGGGCTCTGTCTCTCGCGGCAGAGCTGAGCTCTCAGCCAGCAGGAGGCAGTAAAGCTCACATGGGCCTTGCTGAGTGGGGGGGCGGCCGATGATCTCGTGTGTCCCTCTGTGCGCTGGCTGGGGCTGCGGGGCTGCTAACTCGTGGTGCAGACCTTTGGGCTTGGGCTGGAGCCGGCGTGTTGGGAACCCTGTGGGGCGTGTCCCGAAGCCCAGGGCCCAAGCCAAGCCCAGATGTCTCCACTGCAATTTTACAGCCCCATAGCTGGGGAGTGGGGGATGGAACTAACTTCAATTTCTTAGCGGTACTGTCCTATCACAACCCTCCCTGGGGGATGGGGTCAGGTCTGGGGGGTTGTGATGGGACAGGACCTCTAAGAAATGTAAGTGTGGGTGGGGCGTGTCCCGAAGCCCAGGGCCCAAGCCAAGCCCAGATGTCTCCACTGCAATTTTACAGCCCCATAGCTGGGGAGTGGGGGATGGAACTAACTTCAATTTCTTAGCGGTACTGTCCTATCACAACCCTCCCTGGGGGATGGGGTCAGGTCTGGGGGGTTGTGATGGGACAGGACCTCTAAGAAATGTAAGTGTGGGATGGCTTGTGGTGGGGCTCAGGGCTGGGGGAGGGGCTGGGGATGTGGGGGGGGCCGGGACCC